TTATAATCTGTATACGTACGGGAGTGGAGGTAAGTTATAATCTGTATACCTACGGGAGTGGAGGTAAGTTATAATCTGTATACCTACGGGAGTGGAGGTAAGTTATAATCTGTATACCTACGGGAGTGGAGGTAAGTTATAATCTGTATACCTACGGGAGTGGAGGTAAGTTATAATCTGTATACCTACGGGAGTGGAGGTAAGTTATAATCTGTATACCTACGGGAGTGGAGGTAAGTTATAATCTGTATACCTACGGGAGTGGAGGTAAGTTATAATCTGTATACCTACGGGAGTGGAGGTAAGTTATAATCTGTATACCTACGGGAGTGGAGGTAAGTTATAATCTGTATACCTACGGGAGTGGAGGTAAGTTATAATCTGTATACCTACGGGAGTGGAGGTAAGTTATAATCTGTATACCTACGGGAGTGGAGGTAAGTTATAATCTGTATACCTACGGGAGTGGAGGTAAGTTATAATCTGTATACCTACGGGAGTGGAGGTAAGTTATAATCTGTATACCTACGGGAGTGGAGGTAAGTTATAATCTGTATACCTACGGGAGTGGAGGTAAGTTATAATCTGTATACCTACGGGAGTGGAGGTAAGTTATAATCTGTATACCTACGGGAGTGGAGGTAAGTTATAATCTGTATACCTACGGGAGTGGAGGTAAGTTATAATCTGTATACCTACGGGAGTGGAGGTAAGTTATAATCTGTATACCTACGGGAGTGGAGGTAAGTTATAATCTGTATACCTACGGGAGTGGAGGTAAGTTATAATCTGTATACCTACGGGAGTGGAGGTAAGTTATAATCTGTATACCTACGGGAGTGGAGGTAAGTTATAATCTGTATACCTACGGGAGTGGAGGTAAGTTATAATCTGTATACCTACGGGAGTGGAGGTAAGTTATAATCTGTATACCTACGGGAGTGGAGGTAAGTTATAATCTGTATACCTACGGGAGTGGAGGTAAGTTATAATCTGTATACCTACGGGAGTGGAGGTAAGTTATAATCTGTATACCTACGGGAGTGGAGGTAAGTTATAATCTGTATACCTACGGGAGTGGAGGTAAGTTATAATCTGTATACCTACGGGAGTGGAGGTAAGTTATAATCTGTATACCTACGGGAGTGGAGGTAAGTTATAATCTGTATACCTACGGGAGTGGAGGTAAGTTATAATCTGTATACCTACGGGAGTGGAGGTAAGTTATAATCTGTATACCTACGGGAGTGGAGGTAAGTTATAATCTGTATACCTACGGGAGTGGAGGTAAGTTATAATCTGTATACCTACGGGAGTGGAGGTAAGTTATAATCTGTATACCTACGGGAGTGGAGGTAAGTTATAATCTGTATACCTACGGGAGTGGAGGTAAGTTATAATCTGTATACCTACGGGAGTGGAGGTAAGTTATAATCTGTATACCTACGGGAGTGGAGGTAAGTTATAATCTGTATACCTACGGGAGTGGAGGTAAGTTATAATCTGTATACCTACGGGAGTGGAGGTAAGTTATAATCTGTATACCTACGGGAGTGGAGGTAAGTTATAATCTGTATACCTACGGGAGTGGAGGTAAGTTATAATCTGTATACCTACGGGAGTGGAGGTAAGTTATAATCTGTATACCTACGGGAGTGGAGGTAAGTTATAATCTGTATACCTACGGGAGTGGGGGTAAGTTATAATCTGTATACCTATGGGAGTGGAGGTAAGTTATAATCTGTATACCTATGGTAGTGGAGGTAAGTTATAATCTGTATACCTACGGGAGTGGGGGTTAGTTATAATCTGTATACCTATGGGAGTGGAGGTAAGTTTTAATCTGTATACCTATGGAAGTGGGGGTAAGTTATAATCTGTATACCTACGGGAGTGGGGGTAAGTTATAATCTGTATACCTACGGGAGTGGAAGTAAGTTATAATCTGTATACCTGCGGGAGTGGGGGTATGTTATAATCTACATACCTACGGGAGTGGAGGTAAGTTATAATCTGCCATTTTTTTTCTACCAAAGTTTACTTCTAAATATTTAGCTCTCCTGTTTGGTTCATTGCATTTAGTGTTTTTTTCTGATTTTCAGTAAGTATCTATCTTGAAAGAACCCCACCTCATTTTTAGCTCACCTGGTCCGAAGGACCAAGGTGAGCTTATGCCATACCGTTGCGTCCATCGTCCGTCCGTCGTACGTCCGTCCGTACATCCGTACGTCAACAATTTCTTTAAACGACTTCTCCTTCTTAACCACTGATTGGAATTCAACTAAATTTGACTGGAAGCATCCCTAGGTGGTGGGGATTCAAAATTGTACAAATGGTTGGGCTGACCCCCCAGGGGGCTGAGGGGCGGGGCCAAAAGGAGTCAATTTGGCTATATTGCTTTAAGCGACTTCTTCTCTGGAACTAAGAAGTCGATGTCAACCATATTTACCTGGAAGCATCCCTAGGTGTCAGGGATTCAAAATTGTACAAATGATGGAGCTGACCCCCAAGAGGGCTGAGAGTTGGGGCAAAAAGGGGTCAATTTTGCAATATTGCTATAAGCGACGTCTTCTGTGGAACTAAGAGGTGGATATCAACCATATTTGACTGGAAGCATCCCTAGGTGGTGGGGATTCAAAATTATACAAATGGTGGGGCTGAGGGCGGGGCCAAAAAGGGGGCAATTTGGCTTTATTGCTATAAACGACTTCTACTGTAGAACTATGCCATGGATATTGATCATATTTGGTCGGAAGCATTCATGGGAGGCAGGGATTCAAAATTGTACAAATGGTGGGGCTGACCCCCTAAGGTGTGGGGCCAAAAAAAGTGTTTTACTTGGAAATGGTTGAGATCCCCACCATATAACCATGGTATACAATTGCTGAGTATAAAGAGAAGAATGCACATTTGCTTCCAGGATGGCTATAGGGTCTGGCCCCACCCTTGGAGACATAGTCCCTGGGCCATAACTTTAAAACTGTTGAGATCCCCACCCCAAAACTATATATATAAATGCTGGGCATAAAAAGACGAATGCAGTCATGATATCAGAATAGACCCTGGGGTCTGACCGAACCCCTAGGGACCTAGTTTGTTAGTCACAGCTTGGAAACAGTTGAGAGCCCCACCCTATAACGGTATATACAATTGCTGAGTATAAAGAGATGATTGCACATATGCTTCCAGGATGGCCTTGGGGACTGCCCCACCCTTGGAGACTTAACCCCTGGGTCATAACTTCGAAATGGTTTAGATCCCCACCCCAAAACTATATATACAATTGTTGGGCATAAAAAGACGAATGCAGTCATGATATTAGAATTGACCCCAGGGTCTGCCCCACCCTTGCAGACTTAACCCCTAGGTCATAACTTTGAAATGGTTGAGATCCCCACCCCAAAACTATATATACAAATGCTGGGCAAAAAGAGACAAATACAGTCCCGATATTTGAATTGATCCTGGGGTCTGGCCACAACCCTTGGGACCTAGTTTCTGAGTCAAAGCTTGGAAACAGTTGAGATCCCCACCCCATAACCATACATAAAATTGCTGGGCATGAAGAATCTAATACAGATATGCTACAAGGATTGGCCTTGGGGTCTGGCATATTCCCTTGATCTAATTCGGAGAATATTTTGCCATGATTGCTTTGGTATCCAGGTGAGCGATACAGGCCCTCTGGGCCTCTTGTTACAAGTTGGTAAAAAGCTTTGAGAATTGGGTTGACGGGTATAACACTTGTTTATAAGCCCAAACATGTTTATAAGTTTGTGTACAGCCTTGATAATTTGGTTGTTAGGTGTGGCACTATATATAAACCCACCTCATGTTTATCAGTTTGTGTACAGCCTTGATAATTTGGTTGCTAGGTGTGGCACTATATATACCAACCCACCTCATGTTAATAAGTTTAGAAATAGCCTTGATAATCTTTTTCAATGTTTCAGGTGGAGATGATGTGTGACAACGATGAACTGTCAGATGAAATGTCGATGAAACAAGTGAACTTAGTATACTGGAGTCCTCGGGTAGGTAAACCAATACAATATCCTTGTATCTGGCTTTGTGTAGGTTGTGAAGTAAGCTTAAATGTCTGACTACGATTTCCATCTCTGTTGACATATCATTACCATAATTACTTGCTTTATGACATTTAACTTCTTGCTTTCTGGAGAACGTTGAAAATATGTTTCATGAAACATACAACAAATTTTTTTTAGGTCAATTTTCATTAAAAAAAACCATAGAACAACCATACATGATTAATTTAACAAACAAATAACGCTTTATGCACAGAATAACTTGACAAGACTTTTAGCCACATACACATGAAACACACCTTCATGCTACACACACATTGAGAGAAGAATGTATTGCTTGTAATATATCTTAAGTTACAAATGAAGTTGACCCTCCCATGTGTAGTCACAATAATCAATGACTTGTACAGTCATCAATCTTCAGACCTGTCCATACATCCACCTAACACGGAACACCACAAGAATGACTGCATACTGTCCCGTATCAACTGTTGTTGTTAATGTTTCTGTCATAATGGCACAAGTTTATCCCATCTGAAGCAGGAAGCATGATTGAAAGCTGTATTGTAAGAACATTTGTGTAGTAAAGACTTAATGTGGAACAGAAATTTTGATTTTACACTTCTTTTTTTTTAAACTTTTTAAAGTTTAATTTATTTAGATATTTGCTAATTATTATATTCATTTTTGTTCTACAATTTTTCAATTGCAGTTATTGTAAACTTTTTAATGTTAATAAATGACATGGGAAATATGTTATATGAGGACTGGATGTAGATCGTCTTTATTTGGTTCCGTTGCAGGGCTCACCGATGATCCTGTATTATCGTCTGAGAGAACCTGGGTGAAAAGCTTGACACAACATTAACTGGAGGAGTTACTTCCCCTTATCCTGAAATATTTTCCAACAAGAAAAAAATCCTGTAAAATTCATAAATGTTTTGTATAGATTTTTAGATAGGCTTTAAAGAATTTTACAAGAAATTAGATTAACTTTTATGTAAGTATCTTTACAAGATATTTTCTCATAAATTTACTTTCATTTTAAACATCAACATCACCTATAAGTAATTACTTGTGTGCCAAATTATAAAGTCTGCATCGTTATTGATATGTGGTTTAACTTTTAACTGTTCAGGAACTCTAAGCATTGAATTAACTCGAGGAGAATTGTCACTATGATAAATTACTTAATCTGTAACATTGCATATGAAATGTTGATAGTTTAAAGCCTTTAGCAGCATAGTTAGAATAAAGATTCAAAATCAACGTGCTAATATTTCCTTTAAATGGATGACTGTAAGAAAAGGGTTAATTATGAAACCCAAAAATTGAAAGCGGAACCCTATATTCGACCTAATAAGTGCCTCATCTCTTGTAAGCACCCCTGTCTTTTTTCTGGTCTAACAAAAATTATTATCTTTTTACCATAATTTACAGACTTACGGGGAAAGACCCAATAAAGGCAATTTTTTTATAAACTTTTGGAAGCTCTGTAATCATTTTGTCTTTTCCAAATTCATGGAATACCTATGGCATTCATTATAGGTTGAATATGGTCTTACTGTAAACAAAATTCTGCTAACAGAGGTGTCTGACTTGTAAACTGTGTCTGAATCCATTAAGGAAAAAATATCCACATGATTTATTTGTATATGTATATTTACAAAATTTTGCTCATTTCAAGGTTTTTGCTCATTTTTAGAAGATGAGGAATGAGTGAGTTTTGTTTGCTGTTGACTTATATGACATGTATTTATGACTGTTTTTAGGGCTATAACAATTTTTCAGATAAAGATAGAATAACTGTCATTTAGATGACGACTATTTTAGCTTATATCACAGTGCGGCATATATATGTATATACAATGTATATAAATTGTTACCTTGGAATGCACAGAGGTGTGATTCTAAGTCTGTACATTTTGTATAACTGTAATGTAGAAATGTGTATTTTGTAGAAGATGAGAATAGTATATTTTTATACCCTGTCCAGAATTGTTAGTATGTACATATCTTTTAAAAGTTCTTATACATACTTTCATAACTTGTATTCAGAAAAATATTTATTGTTATTTTGATCTTGTACTGGATATTTCGTTAAGAAAGTAATGATTAAAATTAATTTATCTACAATCTTTAAGTCACTCTATGATGTCTATAGTGTCCCCTCACTTTCTAGATCAGACCTCCATTCGTCTGAAACGAAGGAGTAGATACGACAGAAAAGGAAAGGCAGAGGACCCAAGAGGGACAATGGAGGCAACAGATCAGTTTGTAGAAAATGCAGAAGAAAATTTGATTCTGTTATGATAACTTAAAGTGGGATTAGTAGGTCTATTCTTTACCGAAACCAGTTACCTGCAGGGTTTTCCTGTCTGTGACATGTCCTCGGAGTTAATTCATTGTCACATGTAAGGTGGTCTTTTAGTTTGGTTGGATGTGATGTAAAATGTTGTATACAGAATTTTAAAATTATTTAGTTTTTGTTTTTTACGTCTTCTCTCTCAGAAATTTCTTATTGATGGTATGGAGTTGTCCACTTTTTTAAACTGATTGCCACATGGAAAATAGTTACTTCAATGTGATTGAGATTATAAATATGAGCATGCTACCCAATGTTACCTAAATGTACCTGTGTATCAACTGACGGATAGCTGTTAACTTCTTTCTTCTATTTAGAGTGTCTTCAAATTCTGTTGTCTGTTCGTTAAACCTTTTAATATCAAGATGTTTAGATAGTTTTACACTTTTTACAATTTACCTTTGTTCAAAAACAAACCCACTGCCAATCATCAACCTTGAAAATAGTTTACAAATTATTACTTCTCGATCAGTTTGTTAGCTGTTGGGATTTTTCAGTTGTAAGGATTTTTCACAAAGAGGATTTTTCACTGAGAGGATTTTTCACCATGTTTCTATCCGTCATGCCTTATAGAGTATTGTTACATTTTATTTTACTGTTTCATCCTTGTATATCATATGAAAAATTGGTTACAAGATCATTATAGTGTATCCGGAAACTCTCTGAAATATGGGGTCACCAGTTCTGGTTAAGAGCACTTCCATAGTACATATTTGTTAAATGTTTTGGAAAAAGCAGGTAAATTTTTTGTTTAAAACAAAAGTATTTCAAACTCTTTGCAGACTTCAGCATGTCTGGCCTCGACATGAAAGCCATTTCTCCATTATTAGTTCTGCCATTAGAGACCTGCTATATATATTTCTGTTATGTACACGTAAACAACCTGGTTTTGATTGCAGTGCTATGATATATGAGCTGGTGCTTTGTCCCTGGCACTGTTGTATTATAAACATGTATCCCTATACATTTGTAAAGTCAATAGGGTACATAGCCAACAAATGTACCATGATCAAAAAACCATCACATATTAAGTTAGAGAGTCTCACCACTCTTCTACAATATACAGGTCTTAAACAGATATTTTCCTGTAAAATTTGTTATTTACGCTACAATTTTATTTCGAAGACAATTACAAATTTCATACCTTTTTAGGGAGACAGAACATTTTCAAATGTTCTTACTTATGGTGCAGAAAAGGTTAAGAAAGCAAAATTGTGTCATGTAACTATTTGCTATAGTATATGTTGGCAAGCAACTCAAGTAAAAGAAAAATGATGAACAAATTGGAACTCTTCTTCATTGGAGGTTAGTTAAAAATTATACTGGGACTCACTACCTTAAAAGGTGAAGTTGTTGGATGTGTAAGACTGTAGGGTCTGTGGAACACACATTTGATGTTGGTAAAACGTTTTTTTACAGAGCTCTAAAGACAGATATTGTTTAATCAGGACCTTATTTATTGTTTTGTATTGTTATGTTTTGTAAATCATTAATGCATATTTGTTATGGTGTAGCCATCGTTTATCATAAAAGATTTCTGAAAGATTGTTTTGTTTGTTTTGGTTGAAGTGATGAACTTGGACAATAATGGGTGTTTTGAATCCGATAGTATATGATCGTTCATACTATCTGTCGTTAAGCCAGTACCTGTAACTAAAAGTACAGGTGTTGATGTAAAAACAGTGATACTACACCGGATAATACATTTTCTCATCAATACTACAACTAGACCTGGTATAATTAGCTCACCGGACCTAAAGGTCCAAGTGAGCTTATGTCATGGTGCAGTGTCTGTTGTCTGTTAGGATCACCAGGCCAGGTGAACTTTTGCAATCCTTCACTGTCCATTGTGCGGTGTCCATCATCCATCTGTTGACTGTTTCTTTCAACCTCCTCTCAACAGCCGCAAGGCCAATAACAGCCAAATTAGGTAGGAAGTATTCCTTGGTGATGATTCAGATTTGTGAAAAAAAGGAGCTGGTCCCATCTTAGGACTTATAAGGGAAAATAAGGAGTAAAATTTTGAGGCATCTAGCCATTTTTTACAAACTTAAGTAGTCATATGATATTTATCCTTGGTAAATGTGATACAACGTTTGTGAAAGAAAACAAAATCTTCTATAAATGGATCTACTAGTATGCACTTTGCAAAACGTTTGTGCAATATTTTAATGTTTAATCACTCCCAACATCTTCTTCTGGAGAACCAAGTGGCCCAAGAGTCATGAAATTTGGTCATGTAACTTGCTAGTATGGAATGCTATAAAGTTTGTTATCAGATATTACCTTGACCTATATTACAGGTCACAGGGTTCAATTTTTAATTAAAAAACAAGAGGCATATGGTCATGATATATGGCCAGACGCTTGCTGGCTATGAGTGCTACAAAGTTTGTGAAAAATGATGACATTGACCTTTTAATGTGTTGAGATATTTCTCTTTGTTTTGTATTGATCCTTTTAAATAACAAAGACCAACTAATAAGTTTGACCTTGACCCACTTTTCAAGGTCACAGATATGGGTCAAGTCCTTGGAGCTGGGACTTTGTCTGGTACATTGTATTTACTGATCACACACACAGGTATGGGAGATATCGATAACACATAACAATTTGCAATAAAAAAAATCTGGATCACAAACAAATACTGAACTCTCTAATATTAAAGTATAACTTGAATTTATTTGTTCCACAGATACAAGTTATTCATGAAAAATTTTCAACAACAAACAAGTCGCTTATCTTCAAAGATACAACTTTGTAGTATAACAATAATGCTGAAGATGGAGTACCATATAATTGCCTGCACATGTCTAGTTTGATGGCTTTGTGTCACAAAAACATTCATAACATTGAAAATTTTGACAAATTTGTAACACAATGTGTAAGATACACAAAATTTCATCTGACAATTCTTGAATTATAAGTTGCACTCCATACTCCCCATAACATCGATGGTATGTGACTCGTAGAAACACACTAAATTCTGTAAACCACAGCCCAAACCAAACAAGAGGCCCATGGGCCTTAACGGTCACTTGATATATTTATACAGAGAGTTGATTTTGTTTTTAACATGAACAGAAATATTATTCAAAGTGACAAAAAACAATAAAACCACCTTACTCAATATCTAGCATACAGATTTCAGACTAAAAAGGATTTGAAACTAGCACCTCTGATTCTTAACAA